CTTTTAAAATATCTGAAAGTACACTCTTAACATCAGTCAGTCAAGCATTATAATATGATAATCAAGTATTATTTAATGATAGAACTTTAGTCATTAGAATTAAAATTTGATAACCATGTTTGAATGCATATTAGTCATTTTAACTGAATATTTTAACTGGACTGGTGGTGGTGCTTTTTTGGTCATTCAGTGTTTCTGGAAAAAAAAAATTAAATTGGGGAAAAACTAACAAAAATACTGATAAGATAATAATGATACGAATTCTACTAATAAGAACAATATAAAACGCACCAAACAGCACAGATCGCTTGGCGGAGAGTGAAACTCTGAAGCGCTCAGTCAGAGTGTTCTGTGAGTGAAAATATATCTGCGCTAAACTTACACTTAGCCTCCAAGTCACACACTGGCGAGTAAAATCTGAGAATTTATTAGCCATTGGCTAATATTAGACATCATTTAGTCGCCCAGAATGAAGATTTAGTCGCATATGCGAGTGATTTACTCGCAATGTAGAGGGTTGTTGAATGATTTAAAAGATTTATATTTCAAATAAATGCTGTTCTGTCAAACCTTCTATTCATCAACTGAAAAAAGTATCATGGTTTCCTCAAAAATATTAAGCAGCACAACTGTTTTGAACATTGATAATAATAATAATAAATGTTTCTCGAGCACTAAATTGCTCTTTTGTTGATTTTGATTGCTTCCATTGTCCTCATTTGTAAGTCGCTTTGGATAAAAGCGTCTGCTAAATGACTAAATGTAAATGAAAATTAGCATATTAGAATGATTTTTGAAGGATCATGTGACACTGAAGACTGGAGTAACGATGCTGCAAATTTAGCTTGGGCATCAAGCTAAAATAAATAACTTATAAAAATAATTTCTATTTTAAAGTGCATTAAAATAGGAAATGGTTATTTAAAATTGTAAGAAATTTTCACAATATTACTGTTTTCAGTTGTTTAGAAAAGTGTTATTTTGCCATTTCTTGAAAAGTAAGCTATGTCAAAGTGTTTCATAATGTGTACTGAAACCCTTGAGTCATGTCGAGTCTTTTCTTTAGCTTTGAAAAGCATCTCATCATCAGTTTTGCTACCTCAACACACAGGCGGTTTACTGTGATCATATCAGAGCGCTGTGTCATCGGCCTGTTGAGGCTTCACTCTTCAACTCATTTCCTGTGCTACACTTAAAAAAACCTCCTAAAACATGCCTTATCTGCCTAGATAACAACATGACTGGCATCCGGCTGAAATATTCATTCACCGGACTTCTGGCCGGTTGCTTACTGGCCCAAGTCAGAAGAGCCTATTCCCAAGTTAAGCCCAGTATGCATCTCTGTTTTTATGATTCACCCCTCTCCGGTTGGAATTCGCAAACATAGCTACTAATTCACAGCTATTGATGCTTTTGTTCCGTTTATGGCTCTGTTTGCTCATCTGAGCGATACCCAGGACAGTGAGAGTACAGTATTTTCAAACAAAGCCTTGAACCCACGGGTCAAATTGCTGCGCTTCTATTGACTGCCCCCTGCATGATGCAGAATGAGTCAGGCTCAGTGCCTTGTGTCCATTGTTCTCCATTCGGTAAAATAAATAGGGAAGTAAAGGCAACCAGAGGGGTAACTGATGACAGAAGACCTTACACAAGTTGTTTAATGAGAGCCGTGTGGGATAACATATACAGTGGTCGCCAAAACCATTAGAACGCTAGTATTTTCACCTGCTAAAAATGGTTTTAAGTCAGTTATTTCTATCTTTTGCTGTAGTGTGTCAGTAGGAAATATCAGTTTACATTTCCAAACATTAATTTAGCCATTAATTGTAATAATCCAGTGAGATTTTTGTCTGACAACAGCCAGTGCTCCACACAGAGATCTGATCTCTTCATCATTGTGTGGAATGACATGAAGAAACAGAACAAACTGAGACAGACTAAATCCAGAAGAACTGTGGCAATGTCTCCAAGATGCTTCAAGAGACCTACCTCCAAAGCTCCCTGAAAAACTAAGCACAAGTGCACCGAGGGCAAAAGCTGCTTTAAACACAAAGGATGGTCACACCAAATGTTGATTTAATTTAGTTAATAGAAGTTAATTGATAAAGAAAATCTATTTATGACATTATTTTTGACAGCATCCTCATTTGACAGCATTTTACACAAGTGCCTAACACTTTTACCAGTACTGTAGCTTTGCAGGTAACTGACTTTTTTTAGCTGGTGAAAATACTAGTGTTCTAATAATTTTGGCCACCACTGTACTTTTACCAAATAACATCATCTCTGTAAATGCATAAATGCGTCTAGTTACTCTCGCCTAACTAGTCCTGCCTAATCAACAATTCAAATGTCTTTTAAATTGTTTTTGCTTCCCTTTTTCCCCACTGGTCAGTGGGAATTTTAGTGCTTTGATATTTGGTATTTAATGCTCTGTATACTTGGATGTATTAGTGTTTGTTGGTATAACTTTCGGGTAATCATAAATTACCATACAATTAAAATGGGTAAGTCTTTATACTGTATGTGTGTATATAAAATTTAATAATTTAATAATAATTTATGCATTTAGCAGACGCTTTTATCCAAAGCGACTTACAGTGCATTCAAGCTATCAATTTTTTTACCAGTATGTGTATATACAGTATATTGCAAAGTTTATTCTAAATAATTTGCCCATGCACATCATTATTTTTCTTTTTTAATTTGTAATCTTTAATCAAAAACAAAAACATATAATCTAAAAATAACATTAGCTTCTACATTTTTTCTCATTTTTTCTAATTTCTCTCCAATTTTCATTTCATTCTTTATTTTATTTTTATATCTATTTTATTTTATTTGTCAAAATACATACTTCTAGGTTTGTGCGTCAGCCAATCAACTGCCATTTAAGATAAATAAAAATAATACTAATGGATAGTGTTTTTCATGTATTTTAGACCTCTTCAGTTGCAGTGAATTAATTTATTTTTTTAACTTTTGGTCACATGATGACTTTGACAAACCTTTGCTTTTTCCCTCTATTCCTTGTTGTTCTGATGGAGAACAGCTTGGCAGTGCACCTACTAGACCAGTGCAAAACCAGCGTGGACCTCGATGAAATTTCATGAATTCATATAACACTCATGCAGGACTCACCTCTCTCTTCCTGTCTCTCGTCTCTCTCTGCAGATGTGAGGATCTGTTCTCCTCCATTTATGGTGCTGAACAGTGAGTGTGGCCCAGACACGCTGGAGCAGATCAAGCAGCACGGTCTTACATTCCCTTTCAGTAAGTTCCCACCTTTTCATTTCTGAAACAGAAAATAATAATGTTTAACCAAGGGATCTCATTCTATAAATCCCACACTAAAGGTACAGTAACATTTTCAAACATTTACAAATTTTGGTGGGTGAAATCCAGTCATTTCAAAAGAAATCCACACAATCAGGAATTTCATGTGAGGTCTAGTGAATTCGCCATGTTGACCAACAAAAATCTGCTTGGTTTCGAAGTGAAAAAAGTCTTAAATATCTTAAATATAACAAATACTTGATATAAGAAATTTCTTAAATATCATTTAGGATGGAAAAACAGGAATCATGATATGGCCTAATGTGATTATTAATCTTTAAAGGCTCTTATTCAATTAATAATCTCTGCTCAGTGAAAATGCACATTCTATACAGGCTTGCGTTTTCAGAACAGTTTGCAATCCAATAAATGCTGCACATTTATGTCAAGCGTGAACACTTTATAATTTTTAAATTGTAATACATTGTAGATAATTGCCTATTTTATCTCCCTTATCTTTTTGAATGAGCAGCTGGTAGGAAAGCGACCTTTTTAAAATAAGAGACATAGTGTATTTCGGGTTTGTGTATAATTAAAAGCCCTGCATTGTGTGTAAAATCGTTTTATTTTTCTGGCTATTACAGGGTTTCCGCGGGGTCTTAAAAAGTCTTAAATTTAGTTGTATCAAATTTAAGGCCTTAAAAAGTCTTAAATTGTACAATAAAGTCTTAATTATGATTTCAAGAGGTCTTAAATTTGGGGACTGAAAGACCAGAATTGCGATATGGCTGAATGTGACGATTAAACTTCAAAAGGCTATGATTTCATTAAATAAACATGAGCGCAGCAGGTTCAAAGTCTGGTGCTGCACTACTTTGTGTTCCGCCGTTACCGGGGAAACAGTGATATTTCTACCAAACGCTCCGCCTGCTGGCAGGGAATGATTGAGCATTTTCAATAAAACTGTTGTTTTGATCAGAGTTCAGACCAATGCGAAAATCGACCCATGTTTTTACCCTGCAAACACACAGAGCTTTAAATGTGAACTGGTGGATCGATAAGAAGACAATGCATTATACAAATCGAAACAGTATAATAACAGTATAATATCGTAATTGTTGTTTTAACAATGTGCGATTTGATATTATCGAGTACATCACAAAAAGCAAACAAATCACACCTACAGAGTGCACGCATACATTAGGTGATGAAGTTTAGTAAGTTAAATTGCAAAGATACATTTAGTTGATACTGATTTAATTTGCTTGGTAACAACCCAAATGCAAGAATTTGACTCAAAAGATGGTGCACACTTTTAGAAAAAATGGCTTAAAGGTAAAAAAATACCCATAAAACTGATTGGAAAAGATTAATTTCTATCACTGCTGTGAACTGACCACACAGAATATGCAAAATATCAAAAAATTCAGGAGTCAGCTGTCAATGGTAGTCCTTAAGATCAGCACAATAACACACTCAGCAAAATATCGTCTAATTATCGTTATCCATAAAATCCCAGAGAATTAACGAGATATACTTTTTTTGTCAATATCGCACACCCGTAATGTGTTATTTAAAATAATATATATAATAATTTATTGATAATTGTTTAAATTAATATAGTAATTAATACGTTTGACTCATCCATTTTCTTAAAATTGGTTTAAAGGCTGAAATGTCAAGTTTATAATTTTATAAAATTTTCTGTTTTTGTGAAAACTTGTATCTGAACTGAAAATTATACTTTTTACAGTAATTTTACAGTTTAATATGGTACTATAGACATTGCCCTACCCCGTTCCTTAATTTTATTTGTGCAGGTCTTAAAAAAGGTCTTAAAAAGTCTTACATTTGAGCTTAAAAATCCTGCAGAAACCCTGTATTATTGGTATTTTGGTTATGCAATAAACTGTATCTGGTATTTAATTCAACGGAAGCTCTTGTGGCTTCTCTCTTTTTTCTCGCTGCTCTGTCACAGGAAGTAAAGACTAAGAACAGTATTTAACACATTTAGTATTTATATTTTGGTAGTATGGGCACAATAATCTTTTTATTGCCTTTCTTTAACCACATTATTCACACATCTGCAAAATCCAAAACCTATAGCTGTAATGCTACTTCTAATGCTATTTTTTATTTCCAGCATATTTTTAACATGAAAAAATCAACATGAAGAGTGTGCAAAATTTGCAGTATTTGTTTATGATTCATTGAACAAGTATGGAAAACATAATTTAAAGCCAAACTGCTGCTTGAAAATAGGCCAAAACTAGACTCACCCACGGCAACAGTGTAAAAGTAGCCAAATTCTGTGGTAAAAGTACAGACTTGGCAACACTGACCCTTTCCAATAAATATCTGTAAAGCTTATATGGATTTTACTAAATTATCTTTTATTAAAATTCAAGTACAACAATGATTCTTTTTTTTCCTGAGTTTATGTATGTATTGAATAAGAAACATGTCTTACTTTAAACATGCCCTGTTTTGCGTTTGTATGTGTGCTCCAGCCTAATTAAGTAAAATAACCTGATATACATGATTTATTTTGAGATGGGGTTTTTTTTTCTGTATGGACCTATGGTGTTAATTTTATTTGTGCATAAAAGAAGTCTTAAATTTGATTTTAGAAACTGAGGGGACTGCACCTGCCTCTGTTTTCTTCACTAATATCCCATACTAAACTGCTATGAAGTCACAGAACAAGATTTTACTGCGTTAAAGGTTTTAGCTAGATTATTAAGATTATTAACTAGACAAACTCATTCACTACCTTAGAGTGTTTTTCTTTTCTTCTCATCTTGCACAGTTTGCAAAACACGGGTTGCTCACGGAACTAACTCTCATGAGGTAAGAGACTTTTCTAACTGCTTTTGCGAAATGTGACCACAGAGGTCACGAAACGCTAATACACACAAAGCATTGTTTCAAAACCCAGTGAGCTGCCTACATAGGCAGCTTCCTTTGAAGTCGGCATTCTAAGTGAAATTGAACCTCAGAAGTAGCTAAGGAAAGTTCAACTCTACACCTAAGATTTGGTTAGCATCCGCTTGATATGCACAAAAATTTCTTTATAGTGAAATTTTTTTTCAGATTATTAAAATGTTCTTCATACTAAGAAAAAAACGTCTCTTTTAAGAACTGTTCACTCAGATGTTCTTTGTGGAACCCAAAATGATGGTTCTGTGGAATTAGTATAAGTTCAAGTTTTCTGTCTCTTCTCACTGTGTTCTTTTGCAGATGGCTATAATATTCAACGCAGAGGACCTAAAGGACGTGAAGCCACCGTGTGTCATTCAGAGTTTTATAAACCACAATGCCGTGCTCTATAAAGTGTTCGTGGTGGGTGAGTCGCACACTGTGGTGGAGAGACCATCACTCAAGAACTTCCCCTCTGGACCGTCTGGTAAACCTTCAGCCCACACTTCAGCTCTTTATAAATGTTATTTCCATGAAATGGAAATCCTGCTGCGATATGGTTCGTTTCACGGCGATTGGACCGTTCAGTTTGTTTAGGCGTGATTTACGTTACAGCATTCCCGCTGTATAACCCAGATACCTTTGCATAGCTGACTTTGCAGTGAAAAGAGTCGATCAAACTTTGCTGCTACCCAGTCAGCAGAAGCGCTTACCCGAGTCTGGTTTCCACTGAGGGCTGCTGTAAAGTACGGTGCGTTTGCATATGCTAATGTACTTGGAGTCCATGCAAACCATTTACGGTTACTGGGAGAGCGACCTGTTAGTTTAATGCAAATTCAGGAGGTCAGCTCTGTGCCTGAACTCATGCTGAACTCCACAAAGCACAAGTACACATGCCTTGGCTTCCAGCAGTATTCAAATGAAAAAAACCTGTTTAGAAGATTAAAACAAAGAAAAAAAAGGAGTTGCAGTGTTTCTAAAGACAGATCAGGCTGGTAATGATTTCTAAGAATTCTATCAAGACGTGAAGAAAAAGGCTGATGAATTTCTTAAGCAGGTTTGTGAAGTTCTTGAGTAAGATTCAGGAAATCAGAGTTAATGCTGCGCGGTACTTGTCAGTTTTTTTAGGTTAATAATAATAATTAATAATGATAATAATAATGTTGAACCACACACGTGTGTGTGTGTGTGTGTGTGTATATGAACTATATATATATATATATATATATATATGACAAAAGCTGTTGCACGGGTGGTACGTTTTTTTGGCCTAAAGGGCCATTAAGTACCTTATTATTACATAAATGGTACATACTAGCTCCTTTTGAAAGATGGGGCCAGTTAAAACACTAGCAGGGCACTAGCAGGGCAGTCTGAACTATGGGCCTAACTGGGCCAGCGGGGAAAAAAAAAAAAGCTCCAGCCATCCTAAAACTATATTTAAAAAAAAAATTGTAATTGAAGATAATATAATATTAATAACATAAAAGGCCATTTAAGTGTACTTAAAGAGACACTTTCATGACACACACACACACACACACACAACAACAGCAACAGCTACAACAATACACAGTGGTTGGTTGAGCACTATTTTTGGCCACATAGTGATTGTTGCATCTATTGTCACGTAATACCTTGAGACACCACTAGATGGAGGCAGAAACATGCAAAATACGTTGGAGCCAAATTCCAGTGAACAAATGGCACATGTGAGTGTTCAGATCAGTGTGTGTAAGATTGTTTGTGTTGACTGTAGTCTGTGAGCATGTGTAAGGACATAGGGCAACACCCTCGCTCTTACTGAGTGGAACAACTGTGTGTGCAGTCACTTTGGATTTTGACCGACCCTTTCTGTGTCCAGCAGGAGAAGAGGAAGATGCCGGTGACGGTGTGGTCGATTTCCAGTGTTACAAAAGGTTTAGAGTGAGATTTGGCTGTGGAAGTGTGGATTTGACTGGTAAATCATCATTTGGGGAGGATGGCTGCAACTACGCCCACCTCGGCCCCGCCTCCCAAAAAGAGCAGAGGAAAACAGGAAATAGAAACTCTACAGACAGCCAATGAAGAGCTGAGGAGCCGATTGAGTGACTTGCAAAATGAACTGCAACAGGAAAGAGGCAAGGTACGCCCATCTACTGCATGGCTTTGTTCACATTACACCCAATCTGATTTTGTGCACTAGCAGTATTTCAAATCCTACAAGCATATTTAAAAAAAAAAGTAATTGACATAATATAATATTAATAACATAAAAGGCCATTTAAGTGTAC